ATGGATGCAATGTATCAACCGATTATGAATCAGCAGATTATCCCTAAGAGTCGTCCCCCTGTGGCGCCCAAACTAAGTCCACGAAAGGGCACAAATCCTAACCTTAAAAAGGTTCCGATCGTTAGGAGTCCCGGCGCTCAGTCTTCGGCCAAAAGAGGAAATGAGAAAAAAGACGACAAATTGATTAATCCTTACGACCTCTTACTTGCCGTATGTATTAAATGTTTGCCTAATTTTGTAAATGCTTTAACCGTTTGTTTTGTCTCACGTGGTGTAGGAAAGGACTAAATTGAGAGCCGAGTTGAGTAGAGCCACCAAATCATATGAGCAGAAAGTGGAGAACCAGAACCTGATTGTGGCCAGAGATGGGGGAACCGATAGCTATGCCTACAAACAATTGGACAAATCTATTAAAGAATTGCAAACAGAAATTGAATCAATAAATGGGAAGATATTGAAAAATAAGGAACTCATCGATAAGATCCAGAAGTCGAAAGCAAATGTAAGTTTAATGTCACTCTCATTGTTACACACATTTCATTCACATTTAAACGACTTGAAGGCAAAACACTTTTTGGATAAAATCAAGTCAACGGGCGATATATCGAAAATAGAGCCCAAACAGAAGGATAAGCCTAAGACTAGTGCCGACAAGAAGGCGCCGCAGAAGAGCCCAAAATCAGGTAAAGACGCGGAAGTGATAACCATTGATGACGACGAAGAAGAAGAGAAGAACAGTCGCTTCCATTACTTCGATTCGGGTCCGCATTGGTGTAAGTGTTGCGATAAGTTCAGCGATAATATGAAGCAATACTTCGCTCACATCCACACCAAAGACCATCAAAACAAACAGAAGGCCTCAGAGAGAACGCCATGGATTACAAAGGATTATATCAAGAACTTTGAGAAAGTGAACACCAAATCCAAGGATAATAAACTGGTGGTCGCCTCAAAAGGTTTTGTTATAGTTTTTAAGAGTGATTGTATCAACAGTTTGCTCACTAAATAGGCATTCAATTCATTCATCCGACGCAAGGATTTTACTGTGAGTTATGTAAACATTTTCTAAAGGATTCCTACGAAGCGGAGGTGCACTACAAGACCGCCAAACATAACAGGAGTTATACAGTA